CCCATTCCCAGTAATTCTCCATGCATAAATGTTTCTGCCTTAAGGAAAAATAGATAGTAGTTTTTCTCTTTTTTAAATTTATAAGAATTTATATCTCCTCTTTATTTGGAAGTGTAAGAGCACCAAAAAGAGATAAATGTGATACAAAACTGCCTTACGCAAATGAAGCACCCTCAGTATGTTAACTTTAAGTCTTAAGCAATTTTGGTAGCCGGCAGCATTAGAGGTTTGTTTAACTTGTCTGTTTACCTTACTCTAATTCCCTGTTAAACAAAATGTTTCCCCTAGGTTTCACTTAGAGCATGGAGCTACTTATACTTGTAGGTCATAAAAACGGTCAGGTTTGAAGTTAATTGAAAGTGTGTTGTTTAGAAGCAGAAGCATATGCTTCTGATTGAAGTGAATGATCCAGCGGAGAGCCACACCTAATTGTTGGAAATACGATTCTCACAAAACAGATACGTTTAGATCTACCAACTACAACCTTTTTTTGTACAGATTAATGATTACTGAAAGTGGGAAGCAATTTTTCAAATCAGTATTAAGCCACAGCAAATAGTTTTAACTTTTGCTTCGCGAAACGGTAAATTTAATGAAGGAGTAAATAAATTCTGCACTACACGTCCCTGTTTGGCTAATGTTTACCATGTGGTTGGCTCATTTTGGGTAAACTGAGTCAGTTCAATTAAACCTTTCCAGCAAAAAGCCTGATTCTCAATATATAGGTATTTAACATTTATCCACCTGCTGTTAACGTACTCCCTTGCTATATAAGAATATAAGACTAGTATAACTGGCCATTTTATATTTATTATTAGTAGTATTATTATTATTGTTGTTGTTGTTATTATTGTTATATGTTTATTTTTTCTAAGGGCTGGGATGACTTGGAAAATAATTATAACTAGAACGGGCGGATGATTAATTTGAAAATCGAAATATCGGTACTATAGGAATAGTAAACTAACTAAACTCAAGTACAGGGATAAGGGGTAACCAAACATCCCTCCACCTAAATGGTGCAGACTTAAAACTTAATTATATCTTGCGGTTTTGGAGCAACAAAGAGAAAGTTGAGCTGATTCGAGTGGAGGCTTATAACTAAATGGTGCATGCAAACATATATTTCAAAATCCATCCGCCAAATGACGTATGTAAATCGTGTTTATCTTCTTATTTAACCCAATGCTCAACTTAACTGTTAAAATACGTCGAAGGATTTTTATTGACTATAGGTAAACTCTCAGTTATATATTAGAAAGTAACCTGATTTTATGATTCCGAATAAGAGAATAAAATCACGCTTTTTGTAAAAAATATATGTCAAAAAAGAAACAAGGGAAAAGAAAATAGAATGACTCTGTTTTCTTCTTCAAAGTTAGCTTGCCAGAAACAGAGACTGAACTGTCATTCAAGTTCTTTACAACTGGGTTCCTCTTTCTTCCCTTTGTTTTATGACATTTTTGTTTCTGGAACCCAAACTCAGGGTTACAAGCTCGTTGTGAAACATGTTTCTCATTGGTATATCAAACATGTTAATTAATTCCACTTGCGGATATTTTTTTCAAGCTTCGACGGGCTTATGCAGCCTTGTATTGTGGCCCTATAGCTAGTCAATCATTCTTTGATTAAATTTGATGTATGAAAAATTGCGCGAAAGTACTAATTTATGTGTAAAAATTTTGAACAGTAGGCGACAAACAAAGGGGAACGTCGTCACGTGGTACAAATTCGCGTTTTCCCTTTGACGCAAGCGTGACCCCTAAGCTCGCAAGTATCCTGTCTGAATGACTCAGGGACCCCCAAAAAAGAGACTTTAAGAAGTTAAAATCCAAAAAAGTTCCAGGGGGAGCATGTTCCCGGACACCCTAAAAGCTTGCGCTTTCAGCGCTCGTTTAGGAAATCGGTCAGCACTTATCTTGGATCCGCGCCTGATAAAGGTCGACCTGTGTACGAGGTTTTCCTAAGAGATCCTTCTAAAAGGATCTTGTAGAAATATATAAAAAAATAGCGATTGATTTCACATTCAACTGGTAATCTTACTGTCACTTCAAGATATAATATAAAAGGGATACAATTAATTTTAAGGACAACTTAGTGGAAAGTGATTCGGAGGTCTCCATGACCATGCATTCAAGTGTTTGTGTAGACTACATGTTGATGTATTAACAATAAGCCACAATGCAGCTATAAACGTAATTTTCGTATACATATCGTGTCATTATGAACATTAAGATCGCTTGCATGTCTTCTCAAAGTAGAGGTTTTTGTACTTACTTCTTTGTATTGTAAAGACTGAAATATAGTAGCTTATAGTGAATATTTTAAACTGATATTGTGTTTTTGTTAAATAAATCAAGGAAACGTCCATACAGATCTCCTGACATGAACGACTAAGAAATTTTATTAAATATTTTGTTTATGGAAATATGTTTTGTAAAATATTTGTATTTGCTATAGAATGCTGAATTGTACGCACATTTTAAGTGGTCTCCAGCTGGGGGATATTGACCGGGCGGTACTGAACAAAATTTCACATGGGAGGGGAAGGGGGGGGCTCCGCCCCGAGGTGCAACCCCTAGCCCTTTTATACACCAGTTTTGACAGAAAAAGTACCCCTTTCGAATCACATTTTGTTAATATAACAAATGATACCCCCTCCACGTACAGAAAGTTGCCTTGTCTTTTTCACAGCTATAGAATACACCTTTTAGGTCCTTCCGCAGACCGCAATGACAGATTTCCCTACTTTATTTTATAAATCAACCAGTGAAACCCCTGTCCTTTGATATACAGGATTCCTGAAAAAGTATCCCTTTGGGCATTAAAAAAAGTCCACTTTTAATCTAGGGTGTCTACTGCAATCTTGATTCTCGGAATTTGCAGTTTCCAATATTTTATGAAGGACAAAGTAATCTGAAAGATTTATAATCAGCTTGTCCTTGCTTTCCTTGCATTTTTTTTTTCACATTGCCTTTTTTTACACAGCTACTATTGTTTTATCAACCATGGAGTTTTAGGAGTTTAGTAGACATAGAGTCAGCTAGTCGTTGCTCTTTTCAGTTTCTACGTCGAGGTTACGGGCTAAGCATTGCTAAGTCTAATAAAATAGTCCCAAGTATCAATGACCATGACTCATGATTATTCAATATGTGGTAAAATGACCTTCTTATTATCCACTCCCCTCAGGGCTTTTCAGGGATAATTTACAACACTGGTTGGGGGACTTTGCCAGACTGCTTAAGGTGCAGTTTACAAGTAATGAAGGAATGAGTAATGATGCCCCCATACATGAGTGTGAAAGTGAGATAGACCACTACACCGGGCACTACGTGCCCTACTCTTTACGAAGAGTGTGTGGGTTCTTTAACGTCCCACAGTTTTAATACATGTGCAAGGGCTTGTGAGACGGGGCCTACGGTTTATCGTCCTTATCCGAGAAGACTAGAAAGTCTAGCCGTTTGCAGATATTATTACAAAGGCAGCACTTTCTCCTCAGTTATTTAAAGACCCTGAGTGTTGGTCCGGCCGGGGTTTGAACCCGCGAGCTCCCGCTCAGCAGACCGGCGCTCTCCCAACTGAGCTAACCAGGCGGCAGAAAGGCAATAGGCAATAGGCAGAAAGTTGTTGGGTCTTGGTTTGGGTGAGCAGATTAAACTGATTCCTTGGTTGTCACGGCGATTTTGCTAACCAGTTTGCACGAATGTAGAAAATCTTGAAAGTCCCAGATACCAGTCAGCAAAACCTACAAACCTGAAAATGGCATCTTTGAGCTTTTAATGACGTTTAGTTCTTATTATTGACCTTATTCGAATCTTATACTTTGATTACGATAATCTACAGAACGAAGCTACTATTTTCGAGGAAACAATGCTTTCAAATGGCTCTAAAAATAAACTGATCAGTTAAAACGCCGTGATATTGGTCTACCGGTATCAAAGTTGCTCGCTCCTGTTTTTACGTTAGTCGCAGGAAGGGGACTCTTTTTCCGCCCTGCTTTCTATCTTCAAGACTTTCGTGTCATTTCTTAGAGGGATTTTGCCAATCATTTTAGCTTGCATTGGTTCCTTCTCGGTTTGTTTTGTTTTTTCTTCCCACCCAGCATAACTTTTCCACTGCTGTGAAGACTCGAAAACGAGTGTTGGGATTCCTGTGGTTTAAAGGGGAATGGGTCTGACAGGGTCGACACCTGAGAGGGTCGAAAGGGACTGGTGAGCACAGCGTTTAAAAATGGCGGACGATGTGAGGTGATGAAACTCGAACCTCTATATTTTTCGCCTCCAATTTCTTTATATATGGCATCCCTGAGCCTTATAACGCTTAAGAACAATTATGTAATGCGATGAGTGAACGTCAGGCTATTCCTGAGTGCCCCCAGCATCAAACAGCCCCTCTATAACTCGTTTTATTCGCTACGAACATCTTCAGGAGGTGTTACATCGACTCTTGTACCGGCAGGTACAAAACGCAGGTCACAGGTCACAGGTCAGGTCACAGGTCACAGGTCACAGGGCACAGGTCACAGGGCACAGGTCACAGGGCACAGGTCACAGGGCACAGGGCACAGGGCACAGGGCACAGGGCACAGGGCACAGGTCACAGGGCACAGGGCACAGGGCACAGGTCATAGGGCACAGAAAACGCAGTAAAAACAGTTAAGACACTCCATTAGGCTTTTTTGTTTTATTTCCGGTTACGCCACAATCAGGCATATGCTTGCCATCGACCATGCTTTCCGGTTTTGTACTGAGGGTTGAACAAGTAAATGGCTAAAGTTACACATTGTATTGGAACTTGAGGAGTTCCTTCTCTGGAGATCGCGAAACGAGGCTTTTTCTTCGCTCCACGCGAGTGGACTTGGAACGAGGCCCTGAGAGGAGAATGGAACGGAAAATAGCCTCGTCTGTGCAGAAAGCAACATGGCGGAAGACCAGAGTTTCGAGGTAAGAAAACAGCACTTGCTGACAAGTTATTTTGGCCTCAGTTCCACTGAAGAACTG